AATATCTGTGAAACTAAGGGCTTGACGTCCAATTTTATTTCCTTCCAAATACCCACTAAACTGAATACATGAAAAACCACAAAATGTTTGTCCAATTACTGCCTGAAATTATTTCATGGTATGAGACTTTGCTTTGGAGAACATAGGGTTAGGATAGTATGTTTCAAATCTGACTGTAAATTAGAGTCAATTGGGGAAATTAAAAAAAAAGCAAAGAAAAAAAAAAGCAATGCTTAGGCCCAATTCTAAACGAATTACACCAGACACTCTGGAAGTGGGGCTTGGTTATGAGTAGATTACAAACATCTCCAGGTGATTTGGCTGTGCATCCAGGGTTAGGTCATGGATGGGTGTTTCCAGAAGCTTCTATTAAGTGTAAAACATATCACTTGGGAAGAGAAGCTTCTTGAGTAATTTCTAGGGGTCAACGTTCTTCAGCACAAATGATGTGTTTATGATGGGGTGAAATTAGTGTGATGGGGTGAAACGTGGGTGATAGAAGTGTGCGTATAAGAACAGGAGTTAGATGCAGCCAGGGTGCTGGCGGGTTGATTGAGGGATGGATGGCATGGACAAAAAGCCCACTTTGCAACTACGTCCAGTTCCTCCAGAGCCTTCATCGTCCCCCATGCCTTAGCCCATTGCTCACCTCACATTCGCCAGGGGCCCAGCGCTCTCAAAGTTGTCTCTGAGGTCTGGCCCATCGCCTGATGATTTGCGGGCGTCAGAATACGAGGAAACACTATTGAACCTGACCTTGTAGCTCCTGTCAAGACAAAAGAGAGTCATGAGCTCTAGCTTGGAGCACCCCCCCCCCCCCGNTCTTTGGTGACTGGCTTCTTGCATTTCGCCTCATGTTTTCAAGGTTCATCCCTATTGTAGCCGTTATCAGCACTTCCTTCCTTTTGATGGCTGAATAGTATTCCATTGTATGAACAGACTACATTTTTTTTATCCATTCATCCTAGTTTAATGTGCGGTAGTTTACCTTGATATTTAAAGAGCCCCATGTGGCTGGTGGCTGCCAGATCGGTCAGTGAAGGTCTAGTGTAAGAGGAATAAGCTTGTCAAAGTAGACAAATGGGTGAGATCTGAGTTTCCAGTCGAGGCATGGCCCCCGGTTTAGCTAACCAACTCTGTGTGTCTCGTCTACTTGTCTATCAAATATGAGTGAGGGATGGATTGCTTCCAGCCCTGAAATTCTGTAATGTTTTTTATAGGCCAACTCCTCAGCCATATGCAGGAGGTTGGGTTCAGGGTGGAGAACGCGTGTCTTAAGACCACCTACACGCATCTGAGTTGGTTAAAGGTGTCTCCTGGCTGGATACATGGGGGAAGTACCAGGGGCTCCCTCACGCTTCTGCCATTTCTGATGGTTTAGGTACTCTGTCTTTGTGGGTCGTGCGGGGCATGACTTCTCCCCGGGGTCTCTTGAGACCTGGGCAGGTGATTACCTTGAAGACCTTCTTGGCCCAGGTCCTGAAAGCCTCTTCCTGCCCACAGAGCTCGTCTCCCTCCCTCATCTTCAGGATTCTCTCTCCACCCAGTTCTTCCAGGAGCGTGTCTACGGCGTGTCCAAAGGCGCAGAAGTGAGGGTACGCCCGTGAGCCAAGGCCGAACACTGAGAACCTGCCAAGTAGACAACAGAAAGTGTATGCTAGGGAATTATGGGGGTGTGTAGGGGGTGGGTGCCTGGTATTACAGACAGAATTATGTCCTCCCCAAATTCATATGTTGAAGCCCTAACCCCAACAGGACTGTATTTAGAGATGGAGTCTTTAAGGTGGTCATTGAGGTTCAATTAGGTCATAGGTCAAATAGGATCGGTGTCCTTATCAAAAGAGGGAGAGACACCAGAATCTCTCTCTCTCTCCCTCTCTCCCCCTCCCCCTCCCCCTCTCTCTCCCGCCTGCCATGTGCATAGGCCATGTGAGGACACAGCAAGAAGGTGCTGTCTGCAAGCCAGGAAGAGAGCCCTCACCAGAAACCAATCCTACTGGCACCTTGATCTTGGGCTTCCAGCCCCCAGAGCTGTGAGAAAATAAATTTGTTGAAGCCACCCAGTCTGCGGTATTTGGTTACGGCCACCTGAGTAGGCTGATACATCTGGTATCTCCAGAAGAACTATGTTGAGCCCATGGTGGTCAGGCAACCCCAAGCATATCCGGAGAAGGCCGTCCTAAAACCTGGGAGCCCT